CTGGTGATGGGTATAAAGAGGGCACGTTCTGCATGGAGCACTGGGTATTATACGCAAACAATGAATCATGGATCACTACATCAAAAATTAATGATGTAATGTATGGTGATTAACATAACATAATTAAAAGGAAGGAAGGAAAGAAAGAAGAAAGAAAAGAAAGAAAAGAAAGCCATTTTGACAGTGGTGTGAAGGGTAGATTGGAAAGAGGTGATCCCGAGGCAAGCAGAGAAAAGATGCTATTTGAGCAATTTAGGCCAAATATAAGGGTATAAACTAAGTCATTGGCAGCAAGGTCAGAGAAAAGAGGACATGCTAAGATTCTTAAGGTGTTTGCTTGTTTGTTGTTTGTTTGTATAACAGAGCTCTCTGGGAACTTGCTGAAAGCTACTAGCATTTTGTACATATTAGTTCAAGAGTTTAGGGACCTCTAAGGTGGCTTTAGTTAGGAGGGCAAAGAGGATACAGGGATCAGTGGCTCTCTTCTCCAGTTTGAAGGGTTGGCTTGGGAAGGAGGAATTTGTGAAACCAGTATTAGATGCATCAGGTAAAACTGTCAAGGAGATAGTTTACAAAGTGATTTAATAGCTTAGGAGAGAGGTCAGAGCAGGAGCAAGGACGTGGGAGCCTCTTCACAAAGGTGGTGATATTGAGACCCTGGGCCCAAGAGCAGTCCTGGGTATCAGGGTGCTTATGAGAAGAGTACTGGACATAACCAGGGAGGCTACTTACTCCTAAGTAGGAGACCTGGGGGAAACTAGAGAAGGAATGAGGAACTATGTACAGAGAATCCAGAAGAGAATGATGTTGAGGAAGCCAAAAGAGACACGAGTTTCAAGGAAAAAGTCATCAAACTGTCAAATGTTGCAGAGGTCAAGCAAGGAAAGGACTGGAGGGTTTCCATAGGAGCAGTTTCAGTCACCTGTAAATGTGGGATGAGCAGATTCCGAGGAAGCCAGATTGCAGCCATGCGGTGAGAAAAGAAGGGAGCCAAGGGAGGCGAGTGTACAGGGCTTGTTTCAAAGAGAGCTTGTTGTGAGGGCCTGGGAGCACGAGGTGATGGCTGGAGTGAGATGGGGCAGTGGGGGTTCACTTTTCCTTGCTTCTGTTGAAACAAGGAAAGCTAGATTTCCACATTGTCATATGACTTTGATTAGTTCTCTAACATTTGCTATTTGCCATGTTTAAAATGTTTTTGTTGGTGATTATGTTTTTAGACACTGTATACTCTCTCCAAGCTTCCAATGGAAGCACTCCTGCCCAAACTGCTAGCATCCTTCTTCCAGTTCTGCTGAAACAGGCCGAGACTCCTCATTGGCTCTTAGTTGGACTCCCCTCTCAGTGTTTAAGCTTCAGCATGCTAGTATTTGGAATTACAGTTTTAAAATTTCAGAATATGACTGATGTCCTTGAAGTTTGGGCTTTACCTGAAGAATTGGTCAAAAATGGTAAATGTTTAAATGTTGCAGTTTAAAGAGTGTCTTTATTGTGTTGCCAAATGCTGAATGACAGGGAACTTTAATTCTAACAAGCTCTAATTAGAAAGAGGAAAAAAAATCAAAGGGTGATGTCAACCAGAATCAAAGTGAACCAGAACAAGAAATACTTTTATTGGTTACAGAACATCAAAAATGTGTGGTATAGTCTTATTCACTTCCTTTACTAGCAATGAAAATACTGCAGGCTGTCCCTAGAGGGTTCAGACAGTCTTATTGAATACATAATCATTTTGATAGGTGTTTTTTGCTGGTAATATGATGCTCTTTGGGGCTGCAGAAAATTATTTATTTTTAGAGATATGCTAAATGATTCTTGGCTTTAAAAAACAAGACAATGTGGCAAATGTTCCTAATGTAGGAAGAAGTGAATAGTCAAGGCAACATATCCACTGGTTTCTTACTTAACAGTGTGTTAGCCTATTTTTGAGTATTATTTTTCTCAGCACAGTTGCTTTAAAGATGTTGACATCAAAAAAGAGTTACCACTTTTTAAGAGGGCATTGTGTTATAATAGAAAACAGTTATCCATATAAAAGATTAAATAAAGGACATATACATGTACATATACATCAGTGCATATATACACATGTATATATACCATATATGTATATGATTTTGCTGTATAAAGAACCTGGTTATCTTTCTCTAAGATAGATTTTACTTGGAAATTCTTGGTCCTTTCTTTCTTTGCTTTCCAATGAAGTTCAATATTGTATCTTTTAACTCCCTTTGGACCCCTCCTGTTCCCCTTCTTGTCTAAAACCTTTAGGCCATTCCTTTAATCATTCTTTCCTCATTCTAGCCAACTCTCCTTGCTCCTCAACTTTCTTCTGAATCCAATTCAATCTGCCTAGGTTCAACCTCATTATCTGACATGTTTACTACTGTATCTGGGCTGGTGAACACTGCTAACTAAAACTTGACAAGCATGCTAATTGTAGCCTCTGTGAATTCATGGTCCCAAATTTGCTAAGCCCTCAAGATGGCCTTTGCAATCCTAAATTGTTTCCCAAGCAGTTCTCTTCTTTATGGCTGTTCTGTACTTTCACCCCCATCTTCAAACTTACTCCCTGTCACCTCTTCCCTCAGTTTCAGAAAATGATCTTGAATCCTGTCTTTTTGAGGCCATCATGCAGGAACTCATGAACATCTTTCCCTTCTACCACTCTCTATCGCTACCTGCACATTTTCTCAACCCGTATTTTCCTCCCTTTTCTCCATAACTTTGTCACCAGGCTGCTCAAAAGAATAGTGCCTGCTTGCCTCCCTTTCTGTTCTCTGGCTTTCATCAAACTGCTCTTAATGAAGTAAAACTGTCAATGCCTATGAGATAGTGTTCAACTTTTACCTAATTTGCCTCTATCATATTTTAACATTACTGTGTGCTACCTCTAAGCATCTTCCTCAGTTTTTATGAAACCCCATCTCTTTTGGATTTTCTTCCATGTTAGGTTCTCACAAATTCAAAGTTGCCATTTTTCCAAAATAGCGGGAAAAGATTTGAGCATTTAATTCTTTACAAAATAACAATTGGCATGAATGCTTAAAATTCAGTATAACCTAAAATTCAGTATTATCTAAAATTGTATTATACTTTTTTATCATATAAATGTATTACAATTCAGTACTTGTTATACTTTTAGAAAGTAAGAAATACATATTAATTATCCTTGATTTCTTCTTTCCTAGTTAATGAAGGAGTTCCCCTTGCTGAGCATGTTCAACATCCATGAAAACCTTTTAGAAGCTCTTCTGGAACTACAAGCGTATGCTGATGTTCAGGCCGTCTTAGCAAAGTATGATGGTAAGTTCTTGGGTATTTTATCTACTTAAGTATTTTTTTCTTCTTGATATATTTCAGTGATTAGATCAGAAAGATCATTTCAAATAGTATAGGACTTTAACAACTACCCACTTACAGATTTTTTTACCTACAGTTTTATGATGGCATTTTATAAAATCTTAGAGTTTTATGGTTGGTCAGTGGGGGTCTGTGCCACATGCCTCTCCTTCCCTCCCCGTAGGTTCCCTTCTACTCTTCCTGTCAACAAGAGTTAGGCATGCTCTGCTTTATTGCCCCCATTGTCAGGAATCACTCAGAACCTCTGCAGGCAACACGTATCCTGTGGGAACAGCCCCAACTGTTCGAGCTCCTGCTGTGACCCCACATGGGATGACTGTGATCACTACTGGTTGGTCATGTTGATCCTTTGAAGCAATATAGAACAGCTGGTAGCCCTTACTACAGCTCTTGTGACAGTTCAGGAAATATTTGAAGATAAAAGAATGTGTCCTTCATCCCAGGTCTTCTCCTCATTAGCAGAATACCCTCCATTTCTGCACGCGAAGGGCTTTGAAGTCCCTTCGCCATTCACGTTACTTACCCATGAGCTTATTTCATTTTGCCTGTTCTTAATAAACCAGAAAAATAAACCGACACATCTTAGAGATTTCAAAACTCTTGTGTTATATTGCCATTTTCTGTGAATTCACTATTTGATTAATTGCATAAGAGTTATCCACATAATTCCCTGCCGTGACCTAGCTCTTGGAATCTCTGCAGGATTATTATTCTACCTTATTTCATTTGTTTGCTTCTAAAATGGATGTTAGGGAGTGATTACTTTTATCACATGCTCATTTTTTGCTTTGTAAACTATCCTTTTTTTAGTAAGCATCTTCAGTACATTTAAAGAACTGTTCAGGTCAAAATTTCCAGGAATTCCTCAAACTAATAGAACGAACTATTTTATTTTAACGCACAGTTCTTCATAAGGGATCTGTGAAGCAGGTTGGAGTTGTTACCTCCTACAGTTGGGGAAACTGAAGCATTGGGAGACTTGGTTTTGTTTTGTTGTTAATTCTTGCTCAAATCAGTGGAAACTACAAGCCCTCAGCCAGTGATGGCATTACTTGGCCTGTGCATACTTGGCCCTGTGTAACAAGATATATGCTACCTAGTATGGAACTGATTTTAGGAAGAGAGAAAAGTATTTGTGGCATACTTCATAGTAAACAAAATAAATACTGTTTGGCCTTCATGTCAGCTCACTTTTGTTCTCTGTTTATTTGTTGGAATCTCACTATTCGGCTGACCTTGGGAATCTAAGCCATAAGACTACCTTATAAGCAAAATGCTCATACACTGAGGGTCTTTTGGTGCAAAAGGAACCCAGTCCCATGCACCTGGGTTTAGGTGGCCATGCACTTTTTCCAGATGCTACCCTGTAGCCATCAGTGCCGTAGCGAGGTTCTGGTGTTCTCATCCCTGATGCTGACCTGTGCTCAACCTAGTACACCAAGGCTTAAGAAAAAAGTTCTAACTGGTAGAGCCTTTGATGTCTCAAGTCTCATAAGGCTCCTTTCACAACAATCTCAGTTCATTACAGAAATCGTCAGCTTCCTGTTACAAGACTGATTGTAAAATAGAGAAATGAACTCATTTGGAGCTTTCTGTCATCTCTGTCTATCCCATTGCACAGCCTCGGCTCCACAACAACCAAACACTGATTTATTAGATTCTGATAACATATGTTCACATTATTTGTTATAACAGCCCGTCCCACCCTCCACTAAAACTTGGCTCACACTTTGCAAAATTCCTTTGTTGCAAATGGACAGACTCACCATACCAGGGCCCTTGTGTTGAGCTTTGTTTATGTTGTGTACCTGGCAACAGAGATGATGTTCTTATTCATTATTCATGGAAAAAGAGCCTCATTAGTGGCAGGACACATACTGTTGCTGAGATGCCTTGGTAGGAGTTTTGAGTTCAGCAGTTGTCAATAGACTGCAGATGACCTAACCCCGACTGAATTCTGGAGGGTGTTTTGGTGAGGACTTGGCTCAGGCCTGTGTCATTTACAGTAGAAATATAATGAAGTGGCTGCTGAAGTTACTGTTCTTGTAGAATGAGCCACAACCACACAAGACTATTAAAAAACATGCCTCTTGTTTCTCACCCCGTACCATAAAATGGGCTCTTTCAAGTTCAGCCCCGCTGCTTTTCCTGGAGACCCAAAGGATCTTGACTGAGTTGTTGCCTCATTTTTCTGGCCCTGTGCAAGAAAGTGTGGGTGCTTTAGAGGGCTTGGAGTACAGACAGCAATTAGGGGCGCTCTGTTCCTCACCCTAGTTCAGATGTCATCAGTCTAATCCATGAGATGCTGGAGACAGCACTTTGAATCCCGACCTCCCCATCCCTCTTCATAGAGCCATACCCAAAGCAGCACGATTATATGTTATCTTTGCGAATTGGAATGCTCTGGTTGGGTAGCTATTTCTTGGATGGTTTATGGGTACAGTGGTCCTTCTTTATTACTTTTGCTAGGTGGCTGAATTTTTTAAATAGTATGTTGGGAAGTGACACAGTGGGATTTGTGCTGCTTTCCTGACCTTTGCAAAAAGGATTTAGAAATATGGCAAGGCAGGGGAGACCAACATGTTCAGAGGAGGGAGGAAGGTAACATGTATCCCTTTGCCTCATTCTTTTTGTTCTTCACCTTTTAAAAAAATTTTTTTTAGGTTTGAGTTTTAAAAGTGATATTCACAAACTCCTTTTACAGTGAAGCACCTGGATCCCTAGTAGGATTACCAGTGAATTGGTCATACCTCCTTGTAATCTGTAGTTTAATTTTGATTTTGCCCTTGAGATCACTTCTCATGTTATGTTATTCCAGCCATTAGTCTGAAGTGCTGTCTTGCTATCCTCAGGAGTTTTCGTACTCTTTTTTCAGTTTGCTAACCCACATTATGGGTGGGCATTTTTTATCCAGGTGGTTGGTCCTGCTTTTGGAGTCCTTCACACAATGACTAAAATAACAGCGGCTACAGCTAGCATTTATTGAGTTCTTATGTTGTGTCAGGGTCAGACAGGATTCTAAGCTCTACACGGATGAACTCATTTATTCTTACCACAGGCATATGAGGCAGATACTATTATTAGCCCCATTTTATAGCTGTGGTAACTGGTACAGAGACAAGTTAAGTAACTTGTTCAAATGAAGAGCCTAAGATGCCAAAGTAAAGCCATGGAGATGTTATATTGTGAGAGAAAAGAGAGAAACTGAGGTCCGTCTTTGTTCAATAAGATGTGAATTCCATGAGGAAAGGAAAGCCAGAATCAAAACTGAGGTGGTCTGACTCCAGGCCCATGGTCTTAGCCATCATGCTTCCACTTTCTCTACTGTTGGCAGTATTTTTTTTTTATTGTTTTTATTAACACTATCCTTGTTGTTATTATTAGCTACAGTTTATCGAGAACCTACGATGTGCCAAGCATGTTACACACATTACCTGTAACCCTCAATAACCTTGCAAGGAGGTAGTTACTCCATTTTAGCAGATGCAGAAACTGAGGCTTGTGAGTTTAAGTAACTTTTAAGACCACATTCCTTGAAAACTGCAGAACTGGGATTCAAATCCAGGTCTCTCTGGCTCTAAAAGCCCATGTGTTTTCCGTAAATGTAAGCCTTGCTGAATGACTTGCTCTGCCTCTCTCACTCCTTTGGAAAGGCATGAGTTAGGTGGGCTGGAGCCATGGTACAGAATTTCAGTGATGCCAAATTGTCTTTTAAGATTCTTTTTTTTTTTTAAAGGTTTTATTTATTTATTTGACAGAGAGAGACACAGTGAGAGAGGGAACACAAGCAGGGGGAGTGGGAGAGGGAGAAGCAGGCTTCCCGTAGAGCAGGGAGCCCGATGGGAGGCTCGATCCCAGGACCCTGGGATCATGATCTGAGCCGAAGGCAGATGCTTAACTGACTGAGCCACCCAGGTGCCCCTTAAGATTCCTTTTTAATCATTCCTTAAGAACCTGGTATATCTCTATTTGCTTATCTTTCTGTAACTCTCTTGAAAATATGGCTTTCTATTTTCAATCACCTTATGCCTGGTTTCTTTGTCACAAAAGGGATTTGATGTATGGTGTTGATTTAATTTGAGATTTATCATCTTTTTTTTTTTCAGTCATACATTAGCTGTAAACACAGAAATGTTTTTAAGATCCTTAAGTCATCAGAACCTTCTTTTGGAACCATTGAGAAAGTTGTTATAAGCTTTGGGTTGCCTTTCAAAGGAGCTTATAGGCCACCTAGGTTGAAAACTGATGTCTCAAAGATTAGAGTGGTAATATGGAAAAGAATTCATGCATTTATTATTCATTATCATTTGTGCATTTCAACTTTAGAAGAATCTTCTAGAGCAAGTGAATGCGAGTGTGATTGCTACAAGATACTTTTGGGAGCGTCTAGTTTGGTCTGGTCTCTAGTTAGTGATCCCTGGGGGACACCAGGGTCTGTCACCCCGGGTGCCAGCCTGCTGAGATCAAGGGCCAGGTCTGCCTTTCACCAGCTAACTGAACTTCAGCATATTACTTAACCTTTTAAGCCTCGGTTTCTTTCTCTGGAAATGGAGTCAAGGCTTAGAAAGGCTAAGTAACTTGCTCAAGATCACACAGCTGGGAATTTGTCATGAGGATTACAGTAGTTAATCCATGTTAAATGTTTAGAACAGCGTGGGGTACACATTAAGCATTCAGTAACTCTCAGCCGTTATAAAGAGCCAAGATTACTCCTGAACCTCACCACTGTTCTCAATCCATTTTGTTCAAAAGGAAAACCGTATATAAAATGTCAGTTAAAATGAGAGAATAAGAACCCTGTCTTGTGCCCCCCCCCAAAAGGCAGTGTTATGGCCTGTTATTCAAATTACTTATGGATCTAATAGGACATGTAGATAGATAGATATTTGATAAGAATGGAAATGCGTAGTTTTATCTACAAACAATTCTTAAACTTTTGGAAA